GGAAGAGAGAGAGAGAAAGAGGGAGGGAGGGAGAGGGAGGGAGGGGAAGAGAGAGAAAGGAAGGGAGGAAGAGTGAGGGAGGGAGAGTGAGGGAGGGAGGGAGGGGGAGGGATGGAGGGAGAAGTGATAGTGTTTTTAGTCATGATTACTCCATTACTGATGCTAATGGTCTTTAACTATATTAGTACATCCTAAAAGTAACAACTCATTGAAAACAAACATACCGCCCACTCACAGTCACATACAGTTTTATGTACACGTACTCTTTAGTGATGTATACAAACCTCCTACTATTGTGGACACTCTAAAATAAGGTCACTCACCTCTATAACGAGGAGGGGTAGTATCAGTCCCAATACAATAGTAATGTGTAACAATGAACCTCTGAAATAAGGACAGGTTCATAATCAGGAGCTAGGGTATTATTGGGTCCCAAAGTGTCCGGAATAGACAGGATTGACTGATGTACATGTACATGTACTCCACTGCTTAAAAATGCATTAATCCTAATTGATAGTTACATGTATAGTACATTTGTCTCATTGTATCTTTCATGTTCAATTACATTTATGCCATTATTTATCCCTTCTTCTTACCACCACCACCTGTCCTTATGTGTAGCAAGCAGATGAAATGGACTACCCAGTTAGGAGTTACCTAGTGTATGCTGACACTGAAGAAGACATGGAGTCATGGATACTGGCTATTAACTCAGAGATAAAACCAGTCACTGGCCAAAGAGGAGGAGGAGGACCTGGTATTAAGATTGACGACAAGGTTTTTGATGAGGTACAATAATTATTATGATTAGTAGTTGATGTAGTACTTAACTTTATTCCTCCAGTTATCAACTACGGTTGATGAAAGTCCTAAACTAACTCATTTAACAGCTGCCAGACCTAAAGTGAAGGGAAGGAGGACTCCTCGTAAATATGCAACATACCATGAAGATGACAATAAAGAAGTTAGTCCTTAGATCTTTTATGATTCTAAAAGTATAGGAAAATTTATTTATTTATTTATTTATTTTTAGGAATCTGTTGAATCTTCAGGAGGTGCAGCTCCAGCAGAAGTGGGTGGAGTTATTACCTCCAGTGGTAGTACCAGTGGTAGTTCACCGAAGGACCAGTCACCAGTAGACTCACCAGTAACCAGGAAACACCAGCGACCAATGGTGGCCCTGAAACCAAAAGTAAAAGAAAAGGAAGCTGAGAAACAAACGGAAGAACAGCAACAGCAGCAACAACAACAACAACAAAAACAGGTAGAGGAGGAGAAAGAGGAGCAGAAGCAAAAAGAAGAACCTGAGTCATCAGTTAGTAACCCTGCACCGGCTTCAGAATCAGTTCCTGATCAAGCTGTATCTATTCCTGATACTGATCTCAAATCAACGTCAAGTACTGATATCAAATCAACATCAGGTGTTGATGCTGATCCCAAATCAACATCAAGTACTGATATCAAATCAGGTGCTAATCCCAAATCAACATCAAGTACTGATATCAAATCAGGTGCTGATCCCAAATCAACATCAAGTACTGATATCAAATCAGGTGCTGATCTCAAATCAACGTCAAGTACTGATATCAAATCAGCATCAGGTGCTGATTCACCTGTTCCTGATATACCTGTTCCGGTTTCAAAAGTAGCTCCTCCAGTGACTTTTGCTAAGCCACGCCCACCACCGACAAAACCAAAGACAAGAACTTATTCAAAAAGTCAACACGATGAGACTCCACCCGTCCCTGTCACTCCTACCCAGGCCACGCCTACTCCGGCCACACCAAGCCCTCCCACTGTGTCTCCTAAACCTAAACCAAAGCCTCCCCCACCTAAAGCAAAGCCTCGTAAAACTTCAGAGGCCACACCTACTGAGGCCACGCCCACTATTAAACCAGTTCCTAAGCCTCGAACTCCCAGACCACCTTCAGTAGACTCAAACTCCTCCTCTGAATTGAAAATAGGAGATGAAACCATGGCAACGAGCACTGAGACTAATGTTCAACAAAATACGAAAAATGATCTAAAGGAGGAGGAGCCTGTTGCTAAGGAAGAACCTGTTGCTAAGGAGGAGACTGTTGCTAAGGAGGAGCCCATTGCTAAGGAGGAGCCCGTTGCTAAGGAGAAACCTGTTGCTAAGGAGAAACCTGTTGCTAAGGAGGAATCGGTTGTTAAGGAGGAATCAATTGCTAAGGAGGAGCCTGTGGCTAAGGAGGAATCGGTTGCTAAGGAACCAGAACTGGTGGCTAAGGAGGAGGAGCTACAACCCTCTGTTGCTAAGGAAGAGCCTGTTACTAAGGAACAACCCCCTGTTGCTAAGGAGGAGCCTGTTGCTAAGGAACAGCCCCCTGTTGCTAAGGAGGAAGGTCAAGAGGGGGAGAGGGTTAGACTGATCTCGTATGAGAATGTCATTTTAAAATTGAAACAAGACGGAGAACTAACTTTATCGGCACCCCCTGGGGTTAATGAAGAGGGCGTGGCTGATAAAGAATTGACTAATAATGAGCCACAAATAGTTGACAAAGAAATTACACCCAAATCAAGTGACGATGCAGCCACACCCACTACAGCAGTTGAAAAGATCACACCCATTTCAGTTGAGGCCACACCCACTGCAGCTAAAGCCACACCTATTTCACCAGTTGATGATGTCGTATATGATGTACCAAAACCCCTCACACCTAAACAAGTTACCATGGTAATTGACGACAGCACGTATGACGTTCCCCGCCCAGTTTCATCATCTCCTATTGATGAATCGGATTATAAAGTGCCACGCCCAGTTAGTAGTCATGGCAACAGCTCAGTAGATGAGAAAGATGGAGACTATGACGTGATAAAGGATATAAAGAAAGAGGGCGTGGCTGATCCTGAGTATGACGTACCTGATGTATCACGAATGAGTCTGTCCCCGCCCCCTCCCCTCCCGCCCACACTAATTACTGATCGCCCATCATCAGTTGCTAGTACAGGATCCTCTGAAGGAGGAGGAGGGCCACTAGTGAGGGACTCTCTTGGGGTAAGTACATGTACAGTGTTTTATAGCTGGTCATTTTGGAGGGGAAACTTTTGTTAAAATATTAATAATAAATTTTAACTTTAATTGACTTATTTGCATGATACATAATGGTTCAAAATAGCTGGTTTCATTTGAATTGGTTAATGACTGCAAAACACACCAAATTTGCCAAAATTTCCCCTCCAAAAGACATCAGGTTGTAGTACAATTACCTTTAAGGCCCTCTGTGTTTATACACATGTGCATGATATGCTCCTTTGTAGTATGCTAAAGTTAATAAGAGGAAAGCTGAGTCCAGTAAACATGATTCCAATGAAGAGTCGGTGGATAAACTAGCAGCTCACATTCAGTCACTGGAGGAGAGGCAAGATCAGTTCACTGGGTCTGTTTCTGAAGGACTCCAGAAAGTGAAAGAGATATTGAGACTCGCTAAAATGATAAAAGCTGAAGCTGAAGAAATGAGAGAAGAAGCAGAAATGGAGCTGGCCCTAGCTCGAAGAGAAAGACACGATTCTGAGCTCTTGAAGAAGAACGCATCGGAAATATTGAGAATGGCAAAGGAAAAACTAGCTAGTTCATCTTAAAATTTTATACAATTGCCCAGTAGATTTTTGTATTATCCATAAAACTTTAATAATGAGTTTGTAATTTTTATACACTGAAATTTTTATGCCTATACATTTGATTGTTCTTGTAATTTACTAATTTATTATTTTTTGCTGATTAAAATTTAAATTATCAATTATAATTATTTTTAATAACTAAGTTCTAAAAAGTATACGGACGTTTGCGAGGTTTAGTATACTAGAATCACGTGTAGCATTTAAGATGTTTTTTGAATGAACCAGACAGTGTTCTTCAACTTCTAGGACTTTTCATGTTTATATTAGGTCAGTCATGCATGTTGTATGATTAAGTTAAGGCTATAGGAATAATTCCTATACTTACTGTCTTACATGTACACTAGACACCCAAGGGTTTAGTGAAATCAGAATTAAGATGGTTCTAGTCTCGGCCCAGCCCCTCAGTCCTGATCAGCAATGATACCTGTCAGGACTGTACGAGTACTGGTATCAGTTAGGCAAGACAGGTTTAATTGGAAGGTTATGAAAGCTGACATACAATCTTTTTTGATATAAAGGGCTTTGATAAGTTGAATGCAATGAGGAAGCTGCATGGTGCATAGCTGTGCTGAACCTGTGTAGTGACTGTTTTTGTCTTATATCAGCAAGAAAAGGGTGTACAATCTTTTTCAAAATATCACTAATTTTTTTAGTGGCTCCTTCTAACTATCTTTAATTCTATAAGCAAAATAATTTTAATTGCTGCAGAGATCGATTCTGTAGTGATGAAGTAATATTTACATTTTTAAACTTAAAGATACTGACTACTCATGTACATTGCTTTACTTACTCATCAATGTACATCATATAGCACATAATCTATGGCTTGCTTAGGCTTGGCAACCCCTTTAATGTTTTACATTTTTCTGGTAATGTATAGTAATTGTTTGATGACCATCTATGGTAATTTTATTTTTTAGCAACATTAGTCAGTGCATTCCATAACTGCAGCCAGCCTCTGTTTTTTGATGGAGATGAACACTCTACTGTACTATCACTTTTCTATCACTTCTACCGTGTTGTACATCATGTTTTAATGAAAGTACCTGGTGCAAGTAGATAAGTTTGAGGTAAGTTTAAATCATTATTGTTATCTGAGTGTTCAATTACTTTGCATCTACTAGTTTCCGATTACTCATGTACATGTTACTTTGTTGCCAGAAGTAGAGCACTGTTCTATTTCTGGCACCATGAGATGTTTGGTATCCTAGATATCTCAATAGAATTGTTGCAGTACATACACTTGCTATTCTTTATCCATCACTAGCAGGCCTGGGGTAATAGTAATATGTAATAGTAATTGTAATAGTAACGATTACAGGGTACCAAGTAATAGTAATAGTAATAGTAATAGAATCTTTGGCAACAGGAAGTAATAGTAATAGTAATAGTAATAATGGTCAAAGTAATATGTAATCTCAATATTACATAGCTATTACTTGCAGTGTTACACTAATGAGTAACACTAGGAAAATAGCAAGTTAGCCAGGAACTATTGCTCACTACTGAGGCTTATTATTGTAAATATAACAAAGAATTCTTAATTAGAAACTATAAAATGACTTACATTAACTTCAAAATTAGATTATTTTTATTAATAACCTATAAAAGTTTATGGCGTATTGTAATAGTAATTGTAATAGTAATATACTTTGTTGTAATAGTAATAGTAATAGATTACTTTGAAAAAAGGCTGTAATAGTAATAGTAATATAATAGTTAAAATTTTCAAGTAATAGTAATAGTAATAGATTACATTTAATTGTAATTGACCCCAGGCCTGATCACTAGTGCATGTTGGATGTGTAGTAACAACTTTCAATTATAAATAATAATTATAATGGCCATTAGTGCTAATCAACAGCCCTTGAATAATACATGTACTTATAATAATTTTTTTTAATAAGGTATTCAGTTCTTTAGGGTACATGTATACTGCAAGACATTTAAGATCAGTTTGCTTGGATCAACTATAGCTGAATAGCTACATTTTACTAAATGTATAAAATATATTAAAATGTTGTGTTGTGGCTTTACATTGTTCAAATTACTGTTTACATTGGCAACTAAGGTAAGTATGCGGGTTTAGTAATTAATATACCGACGCATTACTATACCGATGCACATACTATATCGGATAGCATGGATACCGTATTACTTAATTAACCATTAACCAAGCACATGCACTTGGAAAATTGAAAGAACCTTCCAGATAGATTGAGGTTTAGTCTCCTGTTAATCTATAAGACTTTATTCCCTAAAGTCTCATACTTGCCAGTGAAAACTATGTGTCAGTAACCTTTAATTTATTTATTTATATCTATTCCATTTTTACATTGTAGGCTTTGATAAAAAAGTTAAGTCGGCTGGCCATGTCGACAATCAGCACAAATGTCAGTTACTCCAGTTGAGTCCAGGAGATGGTATGATACATAACAGTGATAAATCAGTTGATTATCTTGTATATAGGCACAATTAAGACTCTGTATAAGAGAACTGTGCGCCAGTTGAGTCCAGGAGATGGTATGATACATAACAGTGACAAGTACATGTAATACAGTATACAGCATATATTTTGTGGGTATAAAATTTTGTGATTTGACTGCATTTTTCTATTTGCGAATAAAAATTTCGCGATTTTGATGTAATTATCACACTTACTATACAATCAGCACGCTATTTTGTGGATTTTAATTTTGCAAAATTTTCCAAAACGGGAAAATTGCAAAATTTAATTCCTGCAAAATATATGCCGTATACAGTATCTGTTATTCATTATTTTTAGGGACAGTGATCATCATCGTCATTTATTTGACGAAAAACTTGGTAGTAATCATCATTATTGAAATATCCCAAACGGGGGTCACTGTAAAAATTTTTGTCAGGATACTGACAAAAGACATGCTAGCTGGTGCCAGACTAGCCCAAAAGTAGTGTTGGGTATATACTGAATATCCTGTGTGTATTATTATTATTATTATTATTATTATTATTATTATTGCTATTATTATTGCTATTATTATTGCTATTATTACTATTATTATTATTATAAAATATAAAATAAAGTAGGTTATTATTATTATTATTATTATTATTGTTATTATTATTTATTATTTATTATTATTTATTATTATTATTATTTATTATTATTATTATTATTTATTATTATTATTACTTATTATTATTATTATTTATTATTATTATTATTATTATTATTTATTATTATTATTATTTATTATTAATATTAATGTAAAAGGAGTGAAAGATTTAAGGACACCAGAAAATTATGTACATGTAGTAGTAGTAGTGTTATATAGTGGTAGTTACGATTATCATTATTATTATTATTATTCATATTATACTAAACTAAATTTAAGTTGTTGTTATCCTCAAAATGAAACTGATAATAGTGGGTGGAGCTGTTGAAGTGTTATAGAATGATATTTCTGAAACTGCTAGTCTGCTACTGCTATAAAACCAGAGGATATAAGGACACTACGTGGAGGAGTAAAAAGGACCCACGTGCACCTCCTTTGGAGAAAGGGGATAAAGGCTGAAATAAGTTTTGACTGAGACGACTGATCTCAGTCAACATGATCATGAACATGAATTTTGAGATTGATCTACTTATGCTGTGTAGTCTGTAGTTTAGAAAGCTTGAGCTGACTCTGACTTCATTTTTTGAGTTATAGACTAGTCATTTTAAAAAGGAGCAAAAATTTCGGAAAAAGCCATAGACTATCAACTCAATTTCTTTACATTTTTCTAATGACTAAAATTTAATTGACTGCTACTGTTAGTATACGGGAGTTTGCATTTTTGCAATATTTAGTATACTAGAATCACGTGTATGATTTAAGATGTTTTCAAGACTTTTGTCAGTTTCCTCTCTCGTTCCTCGCTATGGATGGACCAGACAGTACTCAGGGTACCTCATTAATCAGCCCGAATACCAGTGGCTTAAAGAACTAGGATTACAAGAGAAAAATCCGGGAGTATACGATGGAACTAAGTGGTGTGGGAGTGGTCCAGTGAGTATTATTATTATTATTATTATTATAAATTTTTTAGGTGATTGATTCAATATCTCCAATTAATGGCCGACCCATTGCAGCCATACAAGAGGTACTAATAATATTAATTAATAATAATTAATGACCATTGGTCAGGGTAATAAAGATGATTACAATAATGCTGTCATTAATTCAATGAACGCCTGGAAGATATGGAGGGAAGTGAGTTCATTAATAATGTTTTATATTAATTAATTAATTGATTAGGTACCGGGTCCCTTGAGGGGTAATATTGTGAGAGAAATGAACGAGGAATTTAGGAAAAATAAAAATTCATTAGGAAAATTAGTAAGATGATTATTATTATTGTTGTTGTTGTTGTGTTGTTGTTGTTATTATTATTTGTTTTTAGATTGCTCTTGAAGTTGGTAAGTTGCAGTCCGAAGGTTTTGACGAAGTTGATGATTACATTAAATGTTGTGACCTTGCGATCGGACTCTCTCGTATGATTGGAGGACACATCTCCCCATCAGAGAGTAATTAATTAATTAATTAATTGTTTTATTGAATTAACTAATTAATTAATTTATTTATTATTAATTAGGACCAGGTCATATGTTAATGGAACAATGGAACCCATACGGGCTAGTCGGAATCATCACGGCTTTTAATTATCCAGCGTCTGTCTTTGGTTGGAACCAATCCCTTAGCCTAGTGTGTGGTAACTGTACTGTATGGTAAGTGGGTGGAGTCTGTTAATAACTAGCCCCACCCATTAATTAGGAAGGGATCACCCAGTACTCCGTTAACTCAGATAGCAGTCAGTAAGATAGTAGAGAGAGTGTTGACAAGTAACTCTATACCAGCTGGAGTCTGTACTAGTGTGTGTGGTGGGGCTGATATCGGAGAGTCAATGTGTAAAGATAAAAGAATTAATGTACTATCATTTACTGGAAGTACTCAAGTAATATCAATTAATGTTAATAATAATTAATTAATTAATCATAGGTTGGCCGTAAAGTAGGTGTGATGGTCCAGGAAAGGTTCGGTAAGAGTATACTAGAACTGGGAGGTAACAACGCCATACTGGTTGATGAAACTGCTGATGTGGATATACTAATGAATGAACTATACAATGGACTGTTTGTAGCTAATGGACAGTGTTGTACTTCTACAAGGAGACTGGCTAGTTATATTCATTTATCTATATTTATTTTTTTTATCTATTTATTTATTTGTTAATTAATTAATTTATTTGTTTGTTTATTTGTTTGTTTGTTTATTCCAGATAGTACATGATAGTCTTTATGATGAAGTGTTGAGAAGGTTATTAAAGATGTACAGCAAAACAAAAGTGGGAGATCCTTTTGATGGTAATAGCTCTAGCAACATTATATTGGTATCATTATATATACATTATGTATGTTATATTGATATAAGATATCGTTATGTTACAGATGAGGTTAGACTGGGGCCTGTTCATACAAATGGAAGTGTAGAAATGTTTGAAAAAACAATTAATTTAATAAAAGAACAAGTAATTAATAATAGTAATAATAATAATAATAATAATAATAATAATAATAATAATAATAATAAAACTCGTTAATTTTAGGGAGGAACTATTGAGTGTGGTGGAAATGTAAGTTTAATTAATAATAATAATTGATTAATTATGAATATTAATTAGGTAATAAACAGAGAAGGTTATTATGTCCAGCCTACAATAGTCACTGGCCTACAGCACGACAATGAATTGGTAATGAGGGAAACCTTTGTACCGATACTGTACATATTGAAATCAACTTCAATTGATGAGTCCATTAAATGGAACAATGAAGTGGAGCAAGGGCTAGCATCATCACTATTCACACAGTCCATTGAAAGGATGTCAAGATGGATGGGGTAATGCTTCAGCCACTACTTGTATCATTAGAATAACTAGTATTACATTATCTGATGCATATACATGATCTTATGTTGTGTAGAAAGCATAAGAACATTAAATGTGGACATTATTTATTTATTTTATTATAAACAATAAAA